GGCCCAGCGGCGCCGCCGTAGCCATGGCAACCGCGCGGGGTAGGCCTCGGACCCCGGAGGAGGCTGGTACCGCCTGAGGTGAGATGAAGGAAGGGGAAGGGGAAAGGGAAAGGGAAAGGGAAAGGGAAAGGGAAAGGGAAAGGGCGAGAGGTGGGAAGGACAAACCCAATCCTGCCCCACTTTCCTTCTCTTCTTGGCGTTTAGGCCTCAACCCTGAAGGTCAGCTCCTCTGGTTGAAACAAGCGATAGAAAAGCGGCTTTTTAACGGTAAAAGCGGTTCTGCTGCAGCAAAGAAGTTGGCAGGGAGAAAAAAACTTACCTATTTGTGTTTCAGAGCTATTGGAACCAGCCTTTCATGCCTAGTAGCGAAGATCTCTGCCTGCGTTACCTGCGTAACCTCTTTCACACGGACCCAAATGGCTTCATCTCATGTTGGTATTTCTCACCTAAGAATGTCTTTGCTGTTTCAGAGATGGAGGCCTGCTCTCCTGATCATCAGCAACCCTTCCAAAAGCTGTTTCAGTTCAGTTTGAAGCATCATTTCTCATTTTAAGATGGTGAAAGTGGCTCTGGACAGACTTCTGCTTTTCTCCCCAACTCATAGAACTGTATAAAAGCAAAAGGTATAGCGGCTGTGGTTAATTTTCAGTATTGAGAACTTTACTGCAAATTTGAACTCTTTCCTACGTGGTTTTTAACAAAGAAGGAAGACTTTTCAACTTGGCTTCAAATTAGCTTTTGAAGATTAAAGCATTTTTTCTTGATTTGGAGACAGGATTTGGGCATGTAACTTCTTACTTTGCCTTACTGCATTCTGTAGGGTAGCGGGAGAAGGAGATAACCTTTCACATTTGGCATGTTTTCTCTTACTTAAAACTAATAGAAAAATAACACATGCATTCAGTGTTGTACACTAAGCCGGGAAAGAGGATCTGCAGTGGATCTGGATCATTAAGTCTCCTCTAATATTTCATCTTACTGGAAAACGGAACAGAGCCATGGGCAGGGCTGACGCTGAGGTGTTCTCAAGATCATTTTGGGTGCGGACAAATGCGATAAGGCAGAAAGAAAGAAGTTATCGCTGTCAGTCAGCCTGACATTCCCCCTCTCCTCTTGCAAGACAAAATGCTCCAGAGTAAAAAGGATAATTATGGATTTACTTCCTAACCTCATTCATGTGGTAGCTGACCAGTGCACTAGTGCTTGAGAGTTTAGTAGTCCTTACTTTAAAATGAAATTCTAGCGCATACAATATGTTTGTGCTATCTGTATAAACACAGCCGTATGTGTAGTGGGGTCAGTCAGCCCTTCCTCCCCACCCACCCTCTTTTTCCACCTGTTAAGTAAGGCAAAACTTCCCAGTTCCTCCATGCGCGCACAGGCAGCAGCTCAGCATTTTCAAATCTTCTGACGTGCTTGACCTTCACGACCTTAACGAACGTTAAGCTCTACTGGTGGGAATGTGCTGTGTAAAAAGCATTCCCACGTGTCACTTGTGAACTCAGCTTTTCAGTTTCATCAATGGTGTATTTTAGTTTGAGGAGGAGTAAACGGTTGAACATAATCTCCCCTCTTTAAAAAGAAATTCATATTTTCATTGTGGCCTAATAAGGTGTTTAATTAATTTTGTCCTTTATTTCTGAATCTCTTCTCTGCCCATCTGTCATTGGTGACAGATACACTGCTGTACTGAGGTCTCTCTGAAACTGTAAGAAAGCTTTACAAAAACTGACTAGGTATCCCTCCTCTTAAAATCTGTTTAAAAAGGGGAGAATTCCAGTGTTACAGATGTCAACATTATGGATGCAAGGTTCTCCCTCATCATATGAAATAAGGAATATGATATCCCCAGGTTTGTGACAGAAACAGAGACAACTAAAGGACAGTTGAGTCATATCAGTACATTTGTATCTTTTCAAAGCAAATATGTATAATAGACAAGTATGTATAATAAAATTCTGTCTTTGTTGCATCTCTTGCAACATTCAGATTTAATTTTATGGAAACTCTTTTCAGTGGGGTTCCCAGACGTTTCACATTTTCATTTTATCTGAAGATTCTTTTCAAATATGCTCAAATAAGCTTACAGCAGAAAAATATCGTTATATCTTTACAGAAAAATTGGTTTCTCCCTGAAGTCACACCTGGAGCTTTCATATGCACTGTGAGGCGATAGAAAATTAAAACCCTGCTGGTTAGAGCCGAAAAGGGTTTGGTAGGTAAATAATTCCTGGCTTTACAGAGCAATGGATCTAATATACAGTAAGTGGTGTTTGTGAAGAAACTGTCGTACATTTATTTACCATTTTATGGCATTTTTCACTTTAAAAATGAATAAATATTAAAAAAAAACCCATGTCTTTTTACGTATCACTTGACTGTGTGCTATTTTACTTAGCTGGTAGACCAAAACATTAACGTGTGTGTGTAAGTAATCCCGATTCAAAGCTCGAGTAGTGACAAAGGTGTAAACCAGGAGTTGGGAGTCACTCTGCGCCCTGGCACCTGCCTCAGAGTAGAAATTTCCCACTGAAATCGGGGAGGTTTACACCCTGGCTGCGTGGTTTTGATGAAGATGGGTCATTCTAACCCTGATAAAAAGAACAGGACTGAGAGACCCTCACGCTTTCTTTCCCTTTTTTGTTTTCCTGTTTTTCAGTGAGCTTTGACGGTGCTGAGGACACCTCTGATACAGCTGACCACGCTTCAGTCAGCAGCAAGAACTACTGTAATGACTTATGTGGCAAAGAAGTGTGGCATCAGCTTTCAGCCTCCATCCATCATCCTGATCTACAAAGACGACAGCGAGGAGAAGACTCGCCAGCGCATCATGCCTGTCCGAAATTTCTCCAAGTTCTCAGGTACGGTGTGTTACTTGTAGCATTCCCCAAGTCCTCTCCAGACACAAGGGAGAGGAACAGCTAGTTGGTAACAGCATTCTTAGTGACCGCTGGGTGGCTTCTCACCAGCATGCAGGGGTTGATTTGGGGTGAGACTGTCTCCCCCGCGGAGCCCAGGTCTTCATCTTAACCCAGGTCATGGCTCTGCTAAGTCTGGAGGTCTCACTTGTGAGGGTTTGGGAGAAGAGGATCTGTTTATGGGAAGAGATTTGCTTGCAGGTGTAGTTTTTCCTGGTGGCTTTCTTTTTAGACTGCATCTTGGCTGCTGAGCAGCTGAAGAATAACCCTCGGCACAAGGCTTACCTAGAAGGAGTCTCGCTGCGTCAGCTCCAGAAGCTGTACAGTTTGCTGAAAGGTCATCTGGGAGGAGAGAGCCTGGCTGAGAGCTTGGAAAAGTTTCGGCAGGAAGAGACCATTGACCCAGAAGAGGATCTGAACAAACTAGACGACAAGGAACTAGCCAAAAGGAAGAGCATCATGGATAAGGTCTTCGAAAAGAACAGGAAGAAGAAGGATGACCCAGATTTCATCTATGACATTGAGGTTGAGTTTGCACAGGATGAGCAGCTGGAGTCCTGTGGCTGGGACGTGGAATCTGGGGAAGAAATCTGATTCCAGACAAAGATGTCTCGGATGAGCCATTCAGAGACAGATCTCTCAGTCCTGACAGAGAAAATGATGTCAGCAGACGTATCCTACCGCATCGTTTTCAGGTCATGCCATTGATGCACATTACATTGGCGATGGATAACCCAAGGCCGAAGATGCTACAGCAATTCCAGGTTTAAAAAGACAGACTCGATGAAATGGAAATCGGGCAGCTGAACTTATTGGGTGTTTTTTAGTCTTTTCCTACGGATGAGTACCAAAAATAATTTTAAATTATTTACTCTTTCATTTCTTTACATTTCAGTCAGCTTTGGCTGAAAACCTCCCCACCTTGCCTTGCTGTGATTACTATTCAGCTTTGTCTGAAAATGAAGTGTTAAATATTTATGTCTTGAAAGCAATGTTAAAGCTTTATTGTATGCATCTGGTATTTATTATTACTTGTTGGAATGTTAAATAGGTATTAGCCTCTCTGGATAAATCAACAGTGCATTGAGAATATTACTCTTGCGTTTCCTGAGCGACGCTTAATTCTCCAGCTTCAACTTACACAAATATAAATCCTTATATTTAAGAAACAGAATATCTAGAAAGTAAGTTAGTCTTGAAAATACTATTGAAAATACAGCGATTTCAAACTGATGAAGTGAGATGTTTTGCTTCCTTGTACTACTAGATGATGGTTGCACAGTAAGTGCTCCATTCTGGGAAAATGTGCTTAAGCTATCCGAAAAAAAATAGCGTGGTAGAAGTTCACAAAGGGCTGGGAGTGGTTTTAGAATAAAACAAAACCTTTACCCCTGCTGCCACATCGGACTACAGTTCCTGGCTCACTCGAAATCAGGCTAGAGGAGAACCTGATGCGACAAGTAAAGCTACAGCAAAAGGTCCTCCCCGTAATGTCTTGATGGTAATTGAGAAATTCATCTCTGCAAACGAGTATTTTACTTATCCTGAAGTTTTTAATCCCACTGTCTTCCTCAGCTGGCTGGTCCTAGCCAGATCCTGCTCTCTTGTAAAAATTGGAGGACTAAATTTAGGATTCTTTAGAAAATTATGTGACTCCAAAAGCTTCCCAGGCTTTGGCGCTCTGCATCTGGGTGGCTGTGAGTGGGATGGGCCTTCATTCCGAATGGAGTGGCCTCAGCAAACTGATGCCTGAGGTAACCAAGAGGAGCTGTAAAGTGCCTCCAAGACTAGTTTAGTTCCTGTCTTCCTTCTTGCAACCACAAATGACTTTAAACCTGTCCATTTTAGCAATAAGACATCGTATCATAGCGCAGAAGCTGGGGTTTGGAAGAGCTCTCCTCCTACACGCTGAAATGATAGAGCCAGTTCCGTGAAAAATCTGAAACGGGTGTCAATTAAACCACTGTACTTTGTCATCACTGGAGAAGATGAGTGAGCTTATGTTTGTCCAAGGCAGTCTTCAGTTCAGAAGAGAAATGGAAGCTGATGCCTTATTTGCCAAAAATTTAAATAAGGTCTGACTCAGTTCTTCTGCCCACCAAGGGGTGTGTAGATCTCTGACACAAGCCTCGCTCTGTTTCCAGCCAAAAACTGCAACGCAACAGCATATAAAGATCTCCCACTTGGGCGGGAGGGGACACGTGGGGACCTCTGCTCCACACCCTGCCTGCCCGGGGGTCAGGCCAGCCTGCACCCAGCTCCGTCCTGGTGGGGCTCACAGGATGGAGCCTGTGCCCCCTCCCCGGGCATGGCTGTCCTCACTGGATGAGGTCTATGTGAGGTTTAATGAGTGCTGAGTTAATGGGGGTGATTACCTCCCCTGGATGGTGAAGTTATTGCTGGTGTGTTCCTCCAGCCCACCCAGGTCTTCAGGATGGCAGCCCTACCCAGTATCCAAATTGGTCCTCCCAATTTGGGCTCATCTGTGAGCTTGACACAAAGGCACTCCTTGGCCTCCTCCAGATGATGCACAAAGACACCAAACAGGACAGATCCCAGATCAGACCCCTGCTGTATGTGTCTCCTCACCAGCCTCCTGGTAGAGCGCATCCTACTAACCGCTACGCTCTCTGCTTGATCACCCAACTGATCTTGACCTGGTTGCCCACCCATCCAGACCATGACATCCTCACTTGGACACCAGAACGTTAAGGGATAGAGTACTGAAAGTCATGCTGAAGTTGAGGGAAATGGTACCCACTGCTCTCCCCTTGCCTACAGCTCCAGCCATTTCGTCGTGAGGGGCAAGCAGGTTGGTCAGGCATGACTTACCCTCGGTCAATGCACACTGCTCCCAGCCACCCTCTTCTAGAAACGTGCTCCAAGAAAGCACATTCCATGGTTTTCCCAACATGAGGATGACCATCCTGCTGCTCCCCATGATGTCCTTTTGGCCATTACTGAAGATGGGTATGACATTCCCCTTTCTCCAGTCATTGAGGACCTCCCCTGATCTCTGTGACCTTTTGTAAGAGTCGATCAGAAGATCAGAGTTCTCTCAACATTGTCATCAGCGACAAGGCCCCCAAAACCTGGACTAACGTCTTGACATGAGTTTGCAGTGGCTCGCTGAGCTGGCTATTGTGAGACTTGGAGAAAGGACTGAGGTGTGACCATTGTATGAGGGTACGAACCATGTCAATACCGTGGTGCGAAAGTATGAACAATATCGTGACCTGGTACAAGCCTATTCTACTGGAGCAGCAAAGTGAAGAACTGCTGTCAAAGATGGACCACACAGACTGTGCCAGCATCGATGAAGTCATCTCAAACCTCAGTTGAACTTTCCTCATTATAATGTCATTATTATATAAAAACACCCCTCCTGGTAAGCAGCCTCCTGCCCCCAGACACTCCTCTCCGGGCATGCGTGGAAGCGTTACTCCAGACAGGTGGAGATTGGCACCTTTCCACAGGACAGAGGTGGAGTGGAGGTGAGTCCAAGGAGGAGCAAGGTGTACTACCTAACATAAAAGATGGTTCCTCAACAACTGAATTTCTGAAGATCTTCCCCACCGAGAGACCACAATGGTCAAAGAAGCAGCAGCAGAGCACCTTCTGGATTCAGGACCATGGACGCCTGTAGACCCGTGGTGGTAGCCATAATCCTCTTTCCCCCCTTTTTACCTTATCTTTCCTATTCTTCCTTCTTTCTATCGCAAGCCGCTTTACGGGCAAACCCAATAAAGTAATTGTGCGTTGAAAGCATAACTCCCTGGGCCTGATGCCATTTCTTTTTGTGCATTGAGATCACAGCTGAAACGAACCATCATGCGTCCACCGAGTGGACCGTGACACCTTGCAAAGATGATGAACATCAGATTTGTAAGGACACGAACCACTCTAAAAGTGGAAGCTCATCTTGTTGCTGCCCTGATATCCCTTGCAGGTCCCTGCTCTGGGTGAGCCTCGGCTTTCCCGGCACCATGCCCAGGCAAAGCTTGTAACCCCTTCCGTGATGGAGGAGCATTGAGTATCCCCCACATTGCCTCAATATGAGCAAGAACACCCATGATTTATCCACGCCTCAGGCAGTGCTGGGTGCCCGGGTTCCCACCTACGTGCATGGCCATGGCTGGGCCCCACATCCCCCTGCCGAAAGGAGAAGCAGCAGCGGCCACGGCGGTGGAGGAAGCGCACACATCCACCCTCCGAGGCTGGACCCGGCACCCACAGCGGGGGGAGAAATGGCCCCAGGGAGTGGGGTGCTCACATGGGCACCCTGCCAGTGCAGGAACGCAGCTGCGGTACCCGTGCAGACCCACCGCAGGACATCGCAGGGACGTATTTATAGGTCACTGTTGTCCCTCGGGTGTGCAGCTTACGGGCAAAAGAACGGCTGAAATAGGCTGAGGGATTCCCCAGCTGGGGCCTGATTTGGTTTTGGCTATTTCGGTCTAAAATAGGGCCAGAAAGCGGCCGTTTGCCGAGACAGATTTCACAGCCATGTTTCAGAGCCTTGCCAGCGCTTGGCCCCAGCGGTGCTGCCGGCTGCTCTGGCATGGTCCAACCTACACCGTTTTTCCTGACCCAGCACAGCAATCAACCATGCAAGGCTCACCAGTGATCCCAGTCCCTGTCCCCATGCCCGCGCTGGGGAGGATGCTGCCCTCGGCACACTCTGATTCACCCCGCCGAGCTCATCCAAGGCCAGGCAAGGACAAGCCCCCGTCATGCCTATGCTGGCACCGCTACTCGCTTCCCCACGCCCCACGTACCCATCAAACTCGGACACGCGTTTCACTGGAGACATACTGAGGGTGCCGCAGGGAGAAAGCCGCTCCGGTTCTCAGTGGGGCTTTTGAGTTCGCGCAAACCACCATCACTTCTCATTTCCACCCACAGCAACCCTCCGAGGAACAAAGCGGCACTTCCCCAGGTAGCGCGCTGCTGGTACAGGAGAGCCGGTACGTGCTGCGACCAGGGCTGGGGTGGAAGAAACCCCCCCAACGCTGCCGGAGCCGACAGCCCACCAGAGCGGGGCTTGCGCAACGAGGAGGAAGGCTTTCTCTTATTTTATCTCCTTTGCATCTGTTTAATCCAGCAGTTGCTGGAGGAAAAGAAATTTATGATAAAATATAACCACTGATATAATTTATTCTCACATCTTTCAGTCAATATTTTACATCGCTGCAGCTTGGGCTGTTTTTAACGGGCTCTTTTAGCCACGATCGTGACTTAACCAAGCAACGACACCCCAAAACGTGTCTTTCAGCCCCACTGACAACGCCTGTCTTATCCGTACGTGCACACAGGTGCGTGCCCAGGGCTGCCCACGCATTTGCCGGTGCCGGCAGCCGCTGCTGCAGGCAGAGCAGTGTGGGAAGCCGCGGTGATGGGGACCCTTCTCTGCAGCGCCTGGGTGATGGTCCCTCCCTGCCGGGGCAACTCATGGAGGTCAGTTGCAGAGCTGGAGGATGTTCTGCAGCAGAGAGGTGGCTACAGGGGTGAATAAATAAAAGGAACTGCCTGAAGGGGGGGCCAAAACCAGCTCTGGGGCGCAACTGTCCGTGCCCCTTTGGCCAAGAGGTGTTTGGTGTCACGTCTGC